CCACCACCTGGCCTCTGCTGACCAGTCCTCCCCATTAGCAAGGGAACTCTGTTCTATGGCAGAATCTCCTGCTATTAACCCCGCTGAGGCAGCTACCACTGAACACTCATGGTGCTCTCCTCAGTTCATCCCTTACTGTCTTGGTGAATGGGAAGTTATTTGGGACCTCTGGGATAACATAGGTGTTTGGTTCTCAGGTCTCATGTAATAAATTCATTTTAATACACATTGAGTCTGCTGACACTCTTCTCTGCTAATCATTTCAGCAGCTTTACCTCATTTACTGTAGGCAAACATTCCTCACCAAGTATTGGGTTTTTTTTTTCTTTTCATAGAGATGAGGGTCTCACTATATTGCCTAGGCTAGTTTCGAACTCCTGGGCTCAAGCAGTCCTCTCATCTCAGCCTCCTGAGTAGCTGGGACCATAGGTGTGTTTTACCACGCCCAGCTAATTTTGATTTTTTATAGAGACTAGGTCTCACTATGTTGCCCAGGCTGGTCTTGAATTCCTGAGTTCAAGCGATTCTCCTGCCTCGACCTCCCAGAATATATGCCATGTATCAACTACTGCTAACATCATTTGCAAATCCCATCTCTGCAACCTCAACTCAAAACAGTATCTTTCCACTCCATGTTTACTGAACTTACCCAGGGCTTGATGCTGGTTAGATGAGGATGAGGAGCAGAATCAAAAGAAAACCTAAGATTTTTGACCCTGACAGGTTTACCGAAATTTTAAGAGGTGGCAATAAATGGGAAAGAGGTATCTGGTTTGAAACATATTTTGAAACTATAGAAAGTCCAGGTGTAATTGCCCTGCAGTCCACTGGAGACCCACAACTGAAGCTTGGGAGAGCCATCAGGACATGGGCAGATTTTTTTTTTCTTCAAGATGGAGTCTTGCTCTGTCACCCAGGGTGGAGTGCAGTGGTGCAATCTTAGCTCACTGCAACCTCTGCCTCCTGGTTTCAGGCGATTCTCCTGCCTCAGCCTCCCGAGTACCTGGGATGACAGCATGTACCACTACACCCGGCTAATTTTTGCATTTTTAGGAGAGATGGGTTTTCACCATGTTGGCCAGGCCAGTCTCAAATTCCTGGCCTTGTGATCAACCTGCCTCGGCCTCCCAAAGTGCTGGGATTACAGACGTGAGAACACAGGCAGATTTAAAACTTACTTGCATAGGCTGGGTGTAGTGGCTCACATCTGTAATCCCAACACTTTCGGAGGCTGAGGTGGGAGGATCACTTGAGGTCTAGAGTTTGAGACCAGCCTGGCCAACATGGTGAAACCCCATGTCTACTAAAAATACAAAAATTGACCAGGCACAGTGGCTCAATTCTGTAATCCCAGCACTTTGGGACGCCAAGGCAGGCAGATCACAAGGTTAGGAGTTTGAGACCAGCCTGACCAACGTGGTGAAACCTCATCCTAAAATACAAAAATTAGCTGGGCATGGTGGCACGTGCCTGTAATCCCAGCTCCTCAGGAGGCTGAGGCAGAGGAATCACTTGAACCTGGGAGGTGGAGATTGCAGTGAACCAAGATTGCACCACTACATTCAAGCCTGCGAGACAGAGTGAGATTCCGTCTCAAAAAAAAAAAAAAAAAAAAAATTGGCCGGGTGCGGTGGCTCAAGCCTGTAATCCCAGCACTTTGGGAGGCCGAGGCGGGTGGATCACGAGGTCAAGAGATCGAGACCATTCTGGTCAACATGGTGAAACCCCGTCTCTACTAAAAGTGCAAAAAATTAGCTGGGCATGGTGGCACGTGCCTGTAATCCCAGCTACTCAGGAGGCTGAGGCAGGAGAATTGCCTGACCCCAGGAGGTGGAGGTTGCGGTGAGCCGAGATCGCGCCATTGCACTCCAGCCTGGGTAACAAGAGCGAAACTCCGTCTCAAAAAAAAAAAAAAAAAAAATTAGCCAGGCATGGGTGCGGGCGCCTGTAATCTCAGCCACTAGGAAGGCTGAGGCAGGCTTGAACCCAGGAGGCGGAGGTTACAGTGAGCTGAGATTATGCCACTGCACTCCAACCTGGGTGATAGCAAGATTCCATCCCAAAACAAAAACAAAAAACCTATTTGTATAGAGGTAACAGCTGAAGGCTTGAGAGTGGAGGTTCCACGAGTAATGGCATGGAGAAGAAACATGCTGATCCCATGACTGAATGCTGAGTAGTCGTCAGTTAGGGACTGAGAAATGAAAAATCATCATGGGAAATAAGAATCTGTAGGAGACTCATATGAGAACACTTTACAGCAGTTTCAAACTTAACTTTTAAAAACACTTTTTTTTTGAGACATGGACTCCTTTTGGCCCAGGCTGGAGCAGTGGGCACCAAAACATAATCACAGCTCATTGCAGCCTCAAATGCCTGGGCTCAAGTGATTCTCCCACCTCAGCCTCTCCAGTAGCTGGGACTACAGGCGTGCACCACCACACCCAGCTAATTTTTTGTAGAGACCAGACCTCACTATGTTGTCCAGGCTGGTCTCAAACTCCTGGGTTAAAGCAATCTTCCTGCCTTAGCCTCCCAAGGTGTTGGGATTACAGGCGTGAGCCACTGTGCCCGGCTCACATTTGCATCTTAGGTTTCTCTGTGGCTGTAAACAGCCTCCTACCAATGATCAAATTAAACAGTTTTTATCTGCCCATTGCCACCCAACAATCAAGAACTCTGTTGTCAGGGACCTCATAACAGTAAGACCTTTCTAGTTTAGGTTGCTGGTCTTTCTTTTGAGACAAAAGTTTCACTCTTATTCCCCAGGCTGGATTGCAGTGGCACAGTCTCCGTTCACTGCAACCTCTGCCTCCTGGGTTTAAGAGATTCTCCTGCTTCAGCTTTCCAAGTAGCTGGGATTACAGGCATGTACCACCATGCCTGGATAATTTTTGTGTTTAGTAGACAGGGTTTCACCATTTTGGTCAGGCTGGCTCGAACTCCTGACCTCAGCTGATCCACCCTCCTCAGCCTCCAAAAGTGCTGGGGTTATATAGGCCACCGCATGCCTATATAAGGGGAAGTGAGGAACCCTGGCCTAGGTTGCTGGTCTTAAGTATTGCACCATACAGAATGACCTGCAGCTCATAAAATCACAAATGTGAGTATGAAGTGGGAGTGGCTGTGTACATTGAGACAGTCTGTAGAAGAATCTAGAGGAATACAATACAGACCTCAGAGAAAGAGGGGGTGGTATCATGTTTGTGACTATAAAGAATGGTTGGCCAGGTACGGTGGTCCATGTCTATAATCCCAGCACTTTGGGAGGCCAAGGCGGGTGGATCATGAGGTCAGGAGTTCAAGACCAGCCTGGCCAAGATGGTGAAACCCCATCTCTACTAAAAACACAAAAATGAGCCAGACATGATTGCAGGTGCCTATAATCCCAGCTACTCAGGAGGCTGAGGCAGAGAACTGCTTGAACCTGGGAGGCGGAGGTTGCAGTGAGCCAAGATTGCGCCACTGCACTCCAACCTGGGTGACAGAATAGGATTCCATCTCAGAAAAAAAGGGAATGGTTACCTATAAATAAATTTTATTTGAGAGTTTCACGCATGGTTGTCCAGGCTGGAGTGCAATGGTTCCATCTCCACAAGTTCAAGGGATTCTCATGCCTCAGCCTCCCAAGTGGCTGGGATTAGAGGTGTGTATTAATAATAGAGATGGGGTTTCACCATGTTGGCCAGGCTGGTGATCCACCTGCACCAGCCTTCCAAAGTGCTGGGATTACAGGCATGAGCCACTACTGTACCTAGCTCTTATTTCATTTTTGAGACAGTCTTGGTGTCACCCAGGCTAGAGTGCAGTGGTGCAATCACAGTGGCTCACCACAGCCTCAACTTACTGGGCTCAAGCAATCCTCTCACCTCAGCCTCCCAAGTAGCTGGGATCACAAGTGTGCAGCACCACACCCAGCTACTTTTAATTTCCTTTTTTCTAAAAAAAAAAAAAAAAAAAAGATGGGGTTTCACCATGAAAGCCAGGCTGGTCTTGAGCTCCTGACCTCAGGTGATCCATCCACCTCGGCTTTCCAAAGTGCTAGGATTATAGGCATGAACCACCATACCTGGCTTTTTTTTTTTTTTTTTTTTTTAATTTATTTTAAAGACCAGCTATTTTTTTGTTGTTGTTTTTTTTTTTATTTTTGTTTATCCAAATTGGTCCTTTAAGTATAATTTTTTCTTTTTTTGAGACCGAGTTTCACTCGTTACCCAGGCTGGAGTGCAATGGCGCGATCTCGGCTCACCGCAACCTCCGCCTCCTGGGTTCAGGCAATTCTCCTGCCTCAGCCTCCTGAGTAGCTGGGATTACAGGCACGCGCCACCATGCCCAGCTAATTTTTTGTATTTTTAGTAGAGACGGGGTTTCACCATGTTGACCAGGATGGTCTCAATCTCTTGACCTCGTGATCCACCCGCCTCGGCCTCCCAAAGTGCTGGGATTACAGGCTTGAGCCACCGCGCCCGGCCCCTTACTTTTTTTTTTTTTTTAAGTTCGTTGTACAGATAGGGTCTTGCCATATTGCCTAGGCTGGTCTGAAGAGATCCGACCGCCTTGGGCTCCCAAGGTGTTGGAATTATAGATATGAGCCACTGCACCTGGCCTATAAATAAATTTTAGGCTGGGCACCGTGGCTCATGCCTGTAATCCCAGCACTTTGGGAGGCTGAGGCCAGCAGGTTGCTAGAGCTCAGGAGTTCAAGACCAGCTTGGGCAACATGGTGAAACCCCATCTCTACAAAAAATTAGCTGGGGGGGCGTGGTGGCACATACCTGTAGTCCCAGCTATTCTGGAGACTGAGACACAACTGCTTGAATCCAGGAGGCAGAGGCAGCAGTGAGCCGAGATCATGCCACTGCACTCCAGGCTGGGCAACACAGCAAGACTCTGTCTCAAGAAAAAAAAAATTTTTAAGTCAACTTTCAGATTCCATTTATAGTCACCAACATGTCTTAACTGATGTTTGATCCAAACACTGCACAAAACCACACTCAATCTCTCCTGAAAAACTATTCTGTTTAATAGTGCACTTCATTTATGCTACAGGATGAACAGGGTTGGGAAAACAATGGAAGGTCATCCTGTCGGTTGGGAAAAGTCAGGGAGCACCATCCTCACCCGGCAAGGAGCTCTGCCACCAGGCTTAGGTGGTGCTGCCACCAGGCCTGCCTTCTCTGGGCTTCACTTTTTTTTTTTTTTTTTCCTTCCTTTTGGGCCTTGCTCTTTATCTGCATTAATCTTCAGCTGCTGAAGAATCAGAGATGGAGGCAGAAGCAGTCCAGCTACTGGGGCCAGATGGCAGAGGTGAGAGGGCAGGGCAGCCAGGCTAAGTAAGGTCCTTGAAAGCATCCTTAACCAAGCATTTAGAGAAAATCACTTTCATCATAGGAGTGGAAAGATGACAGGAGAGGACAGGAATCAGAGGCCAATGCTAAGTGCTTCTGACTCTTTCCCTCATAGCTGCTTGGATAGATACACCCAGTCAGCCCCATGACAACTGGGTGCAGCGGGGTGGGGGGGGGGTGGAGTGTGGAGGTGTCTTCCAGCAATATCACCAGGTTTCTCTTAGAAACATGGTCTGGCTGCTCTAAGAGCCCTAAAAGACACCATCATCACAGATGTTTCTGAATCTTCCACCCTCAATAAAAATCTCGATGACAAATTTCCGTAATTAATGAAATCATGAAACAAAACACCATGTTCCTTATCAAAACTTAAAGCTGGACTAGGAACAGTAGCTTTGAAATACAGCCTCCCTTTCCCCTCCCTAGCAAATAACAGGACCCAGAGCCTCCTTTCCACTGCTGGCTGTGCGGACTACATGGACTCCAGCTAAAGGAATCCATGGAATTCTGACCCAACTGTGCTTCCATCCCCACCTTGGAAAGGTTCCTCTGCTGTGAGGAAAAAAAGGGTTTAGTGCAAACTCCTTTCCTAAATGGGGTGACTGGTCCCAGAGCTGCTTTCGATTCCCAGCACGCCATCTGCCTGCCTGCCTTGTCACTTTCCAGGGCTGGTGCAATTTCCAGGAAAATTCACCGATTCGCCCAGTCTGCCCCATTCTCTGAAGTGAAAGGTCTGAGTTGGAAGGAACACATCCTAAGCTGTTGAGATTTATAGAATAAGGCAAAAACTCTTGAGACTCAGGGAAAGTGAGGAAAATGGGTGTGTGGCTCTTTCATGTGGACTCTCTGATATTTAACTTGGTTGTAACTCTGAGGGAGCTTTTGCTCATGCCCATCCCATTCAAAGGCTTTTCTCCAGTGTGAATTCTCTGATGGCGAACAAGAGCTGAGCTGTACCTGAAGGCTTTCCCACACTCGCTACATTCATAGGGGTTCTCCCCGGTGTGGATTCTTTGATGCTGAATAAGGCCTGAACTGTAGGTAAACTTTCCTCCGCATTCCATACATTCGTAGGGCTTCTCTCCAGTGTGGATTCTCTGGTGCTGATAGAGGTGTGAGCTCTGGCTGAAGGCCTTCCCACACTCATTACATTCATAAGGTTTTTCTCCAGTGTGGATTCTCTGATGGTGAATAAGGGTGGAGCTCCTACTGAAGGCCTTCCCACATTCATTACAGGCATAGGGTTTCTCACCAGTGTGGATTCTCTGATGGTGGGTGAGGGTGGAGCTCCAGCTGAAGGTCTTCCCACACTCATTACATTCATAGGGTTTCTCCCCTGTGTGGATCCTCCGATGCAGAATGAGGGCAGAGCTACAACTGAAGGTTTTCCCACAATCACTACATTCATAAGGTTTCTCCCCAGTGTGGATTCTCTGATGCTGAATAAGGTGTGAGCTCTGGCTGAAGGCCTTTCCACACTCATTACATTCATAGGGCTTTTCCCCGGTATGGATTCTCTGATGCTGAATAAGGTCTGAAGTTCGATTAAAGCTCTTGCTACATTCATCACACTTGTGGGGTCTGTCTCCCACAGGAAGTCTCTGATGTGAGATAAGGTTGGAATTCACAGTGAAGCTGTTCCCCAAATCACTGTATTTCTCACTTCTCTCTCCCATGGGGGTTAGCTTCTCAACTGTCACTTGGCCAAAATCTTGCATTTTCCTGTTCAATCTTTCTCCAGGGGAGTTCCCCAGTGGCCTCTTTAGACTGACCTCTTGTCCATAGGCTTCTTTAAACTTAAGACCCTGAGACATATCCTTTTGAAATCTTCCCAGCAGGACCCCATGTGATCTTGTGTCTTCAGAAACTGCTTGATCATTTTCAGTTCTGGTCTCACCATCTGACATAATAAAAAATGCAAATGTCACTTGTTCCTTGAGGAAGAGTGAAAATCACAGGACGTGATCATCAGGGAATACCTATAGTGCCAAAAGCACATACCTGCAGAGAGGCCTTATATGTGTGCACCTAAGGCAAAATAAGACATCCAAGCTAAGGAGACAGGGAAGGCACAGGGCAGAGAGCAAAACCAAGGAGAAACAAGGAGAGCTGGGAGTAAAGAGGAAGCTGAGTGTGTGTGAAGGGGAGGATGGATCAGGCAGAGAGGTAAGAAACCAACATTAGAAGAGGAAGGTCGTATTGCTTAATGAAGTGACAAAGCCTTTAGAGAGGTCACGGATGGTGGATATAACTGGGGACACAGTGACTACAAGAAGGGAGAACAAATACAGTACAGATGGTGAGGAAAGCGGGAAAGGGCGAGGATGCTAGTCATCGACATGGCCCTGTAAGAGCAATCATGGCTGTCATTATGCCACAAATGCCAAGCCCATGGAAATGGCAAGACGGCTGAGTCTGCCTCTGGGCCCTATGCATAAAAAGGCTATGCTCACACATGAGGCTATGCAAAGAGTCTCAGTGTCTGACTTCTCTGTTTTTGTTCCTCTGGAGTTTCTAAAGGCAACTCTAGGCACAGAGGATACATGTAAAGGGTCCAGAGAGTTTTTTTTTTTTTTTTTTTCCCCCGAGAAGGAGTCTTGCTCTGTTGCCCAGGCTGGAGTACAGTGGCATGATCTCAGCTCACCCGAACCTCTGCCTCCCAGGTTCAAGTGATTCTCCTGCCTCAGCCTCCTGAGTAGCTGGGATTACAGGTGCACACCACCATGCCCAGCTAACTTTTGTATTTTTAGTAGAGACATGGTTTCACCATGTTGGTCAGGCTGGACTCAAAACTCCTGATCTCGTGATCCACCCACCTTGGCCTCCCAAAAGTGCTGGAATTACAGGTGTGAGCCACTACGCCTGGCCACCTTTTTAGTTTAATTGATATTGTAAAGAGTAAAGACAGGGCAATGTGTGTTAGGGACAGAAACAGCTGTTTCTCCCTCACCTGAACAGGTACCTCTTAGGACCCCTCTGCTCTCAGTTCCCTTCAAACCCAGGCCCCTTGGCTCTTCCTCTCACTCTAGCAGAGAGATGGTGGCAGGATTCAGAAATGGGAATCCTGCTCATGAGGAGAGACATGGGACAAGGAGGTTTATCTGCTCACCTCGAGAGTCCCAGAGCTCAATTCCAGACGCCAGATCTGTAGAGGACAGAAGGGAAATGTACAGGGCAGTCTCAAATGACAGGAAGGCCTCCTGGCTATGCTCGGGAAAATGCCCAGTAAGACTGGGGTGAGAGACAAGGAATTCCACATCCTAAAAATTAAGAAGCTAATTTCTCTTTGCTTTTTTTTTTTTTTGAGACAGAGTCTTGCCCCGTCGCCAAGCGCCAGGCTGGAGTGTACTGGCGTGATCTTGGCTCACTGCAACCTCTGCCTCCTGGGTTCAAGTAATTCTCCTGCCTCAGCCTCCCGAGTAGCTGGGACTACAGGCACACGCCACCACATCCAGCTAATTTTTATATTTTTTAGTAGACATGGGGTTCCACCATGTTGGCCAGGATGGTCTCAATCTCTTGACCCCATGATCTGCCTGCCTCGGCCAAAGTGCTGGGATTACAGGCGTGAGCCACCGTGCCCAGCCAAGAAGCTAATTTCTTAACTTTCTTTTTTTTTTTTTTTTCATTTTTGAGACAGGATCTCACTGTCGCCCAGTCTGGAGTGCAGTGGTGTGTTCCTGGCTCACTGCAACCTCCCAGGTTCAAGCAATTCTCCTGCCTCAGCCTCTCAAGTAGTTGTGATTACAGGCATGTACCACCACGCCCAACTAATTTTTTTGTATTTTTAGTAGAGATTGGGTTTCAACATGTTGGCAAGGATGGTCTCCAATTCCTGACCTCAGATGACCTGCCCACCTCGGCCTCCCAAAGTGCTGGGATTACAGGCATGAGCCACTGCACCCAGCCTAATTTCTTAACCTTTCTAAGTTTCTACAGAGCAGCAGGGGCACTAGGTCCCTAGAGGTGACCAGCAGAGAAGGGGAGGACAGAGACGTGGGCACAGAGCAGCATTTCACGTGTTCAGAGATCACAACACACTCATCCTTTGGAAAAGTCTGTGGATTATATATTAAGTCCTAGGAATAAAATGGAAAACGTACCAGATTTGGAGTTACTGGGCCCAAGTTTTGCCACTCATTAGCCTAATGACCATGCGTGCACAAGGCATTAAGACCTCTATCCTCCCCTCTACTTTATTTATTTACTTACTTATTTTTTCAGACAGGGTCTCTTTGTGTCACCCAGGCTGGAGTACAGTGGTGCAATCTCAGCTCATTGCAACCTCTGCTTCCTGGGCTCAAGTGATTCTCCCACCTCAGCCTCCCAAGTAGCTGGGACTACAGGCATGTGCCAACATGTCTAGCTAATTTTTTGGATATTTGGTAGAGACAGGGTCTCAGCATGTTGCGCTGGCTGGTCTTGAACTCCTGACCTCACGTGATCTTCCTGCCTTGGCCTCCTAGAGTGTTGGGATTACAGGTGTGAGCCACCTCACCTGGCCTACTTTTACTTTCCTTACCTGTAAAATGAGGAATAATACTAGCTGCCAATTTACTGTGTTACTGTGAAGATTAAAGAAAGTAGATGAGAACTCTAAAGTTGCAAACTGCTGTATAAATGAATTAAGATTGTTCTTAGAATTTTCTGAGACTAAGTCAGTCCTTAGCTAGGCCAGGCATGGTGGCTCATGCTTATAATCCCAGCACTTTGAGAGGCCAAGGCAAGTGGATCATTTGAGGTTAGGAGTCCGAGACTAGCCTGGCCAACATGGTGAAACCCTGTCTCTACTAAAAAAAATAATAATAATACAAAAATTAGCCAGGTGTGATGGTGCAGGCCTGTAGTGCCAGCTACTTGGGAAGCAGAGGTGAGAGAATCACTTGAACCTGGGAGGTGGATGTTGCAGTGAGCTAAGATCATGCCATTGCATCTCAAAAAAAAAAAAAAAAAAAAAAAAATCTGAAACAGTCAGCTGTTTTCAGTGACTAGATTGTTACTAGAAAACAAGCAAAGAAACACCAGTGAATTTTGTTAAGGAGGCAGAACTACTTACCCAGTGAGAACACATTCCCATAATTCTCCAGCATCACATCTCTATAGAGGTCCCTCTGAGCAGGTTCCAAACGTTTCCACTCCTTCCGGATGAAGTACACAGCTACATCCTCAAATGTCACCAGCTCCTGAAACAACACGTGCTAGCATGCAGTTTCAGGGTGAGGAATGCGAATAGCAGCACCAAAAAGATACCACTGAGGACTGGGCTGAAGAATGTGCATTTGGGAAGGGAGGAGGAGGGCAGGGCAGAGGAAGAGACAAGACTCCACGATGGAAGGCGAGGGAGGGTCCACAATTCAGCAGGACAGAACCATGGGCCTGATGGAGGAGATCAGGGTTTCAGGTTCTGAATGAGATGTCACTGCACAGAAAATGGAAAAGAAAAGGATGAAGGGAACCACAGCTCACCTGGGACTTGGCCTTTAGGAGCGCAGCTGCCAACATCTCATCTCCCAGGCTGTCCTTGTCAGAAAAGGCAGGAACTTTTGAAGGAAGAGCTGAAGGGCAATAAAAGGGCCAAGGAGTGAGTTCATCTGCTGTGTAACCTCCCAACCTGCTGACTTCCCAACCCACAGAAAGCTCTAGGGGTCCTGGCACAACATGGGACCCTCTCTCTCACATTTCTAAGTTTGTCTCTGCAGCTAGCAAAGGTGTGTCCAACAGAGGCACAATCAGAGCGGGTCCATCCTGCCTGAGCAGATGGCCACAGGCCTGGTCATTCTTGGTCTCCAGTCTGCCTCAGGTCCCCTCCTCTCTCCAGTCACTCTTTTCTCAATGAAACCGCCCAGTCCTATCTTAGTTATTACTGCATTCTTGTCCATTCACCGAAGCTTGGCCAGAAACATATGATCCTGCTCTTGCATGAAGTTCTACTTTTTTCTTTTAAGATGGGTTTTGCTATGTTGCCCAGGCTGGTCTTGAACTCCTGAGCTCAAGTGATCCTCCCGCCTCAGCCTCCCAAGTAGCTGGGTTTACAGCATGCGCCACTGCACCCGGCATAAAGTCCTTAGACCAGAGAAAAACCAGCAGCTCCACCCCAGCCCTGACTGAAAACACAATGCCCATTGCTCCTTTCTCTCCAACCCAGATCAAATCTTTTTTTTTTTTTTTTTTTTTAAAGACGGGGGTTTCACCATGTTGGTCAGGCTGGTCTTGAACTCCCGACCTCAGGTGATCCACCTGCCTTGGCCTCCAAAGTGCTTGGATTACAGGCGTGAGCCACCACGCCCAGCCAACTCAGATCAAATCTGTACACTACAGATGTTTCCTGTTTCTGTGTTGGATCTCTTATCTTTTTCTTTTCTTGAGACAGAGTCTCCCACTGTCACCCAGGCTGGAGTGCAGTGGCGCTATCTTAGCTCACTGCATTCTCTACCTCCCGGGTTCAAGCAATTCTCCTGCCTCAGCCTCCCAAGTAGCTGTGATTATAGACATCTGCCACCATGCCCAGCTAATTTTTGTGTTTTTAGTAGAGATGGGGTTCTACCACGTTGGCTAGGCTGGTCTTGAACTCCTGACCTCAAGGGATCCACCTACCCTGGCCTCACCTATGCTGGAATTACATACCCTTTTTCTGCAATTCTCAAATTTACGTATTAATCTCTTAGAGACTCTAGAGTCCAGGCATGGTGGTTCACGCCTATAATCCTCACACTTTGGGAGGCCAAGATGGGCAGACTGCCTGAGCTCAGGAGTTCGAGACCAGCCTGGGCAACATAGCAAATCCCCATCTCTACTAAAAATACAAAAAATCAGCCGGCATGGTGGTGTACACCTATAGTCCCAGCTACTCAGGAGGCTGAGGAAGGAGAATCGCCTGAATCCAGGAGGTGGAGGTTGCAGTGAGGCAAGATTGTGCCACTGCACTCCAGCCTGGGCAACAGGGCAAGACTCTGTCTCCAAAAAGAAAAGAGAGAGACTCTAAACCCCAGAGATACTAGACCTGCCGAGTCACCAAACAAAAGGACCTTAAATGCTTTCTTCTAATAAGCATGGGAACAACACCTATTAAGACTGAAACTGGCTCCTAAATCAGGGACACCCTATGAAAGCAAAATATATTTCACTGGCTTCCTATTTACTCTTTTTGCGTATGACCCACAAAATCACTCCCAAGGGCTTCCTCTAAAAGCATGCTCCTAAAAAGCACAAACTCTGCCTATTAAGTCAGCTACACAGAATGCCTGAAAAATGGAATGACTGACACGGTTTCCTTAATCTCACATGAGGTGCTCACAACCCTTCAAATTGCCTCAGTGGCCAGGCGTGGTAGCTCATGCCTGTAATCCCAGAACTCTGGGAGGCCAAGGTGGGCACTGAGGTCAAGTTTCAAGCCCAGCCTGGCCAACATGGTTAAACTCCATCTCTACAAAAATACAAAAATTAGCTGGGTATGGTGGTGTGCACCTGTAGTCCCAGCTACATAGGAGGCTGAGGAGGGAGAATTGCTTGAACCCAGGAGGCGGGGCGGAGGTTGCAGTGAGCAGAGATCATACCACTGCACTCCAGCCTAGGCAACAGAGCAAGACTCCATCTCCCCCGCCAAAAAAAAAGGCTGGTCACAGTGGCTCACGCCTATAATCCCCAGCACCTCGGGAGGCTGAGGTGGGTGAATCATGAGGAGTTTGAGGCCAGCCTGGCCAATGTGGTGAAACTCCATTTCTACTAAAAGTACAAAAATTAGCCAGGCATGGTGGCACATGCCTGTAGTCTCAGCTACTCAGGAGGCTGAGACAGAACTGCTTGAACCCAGGAGGCAGATGTTGCAGTGAGCCAAGATCACACCACTGCACTCCAGCCTGGGCAATAGAGCAAGACTCCATCTCAAAAAAAAAAAAAAAAAAAAAAAAAAAAAAATCTGCCTCAATCTGCCTCAGTTATCAAACCTATCAAGCTGTCATTGATTACTGTTTGATCAGCTTCCTCATTAAGCTGTGAGTTACTGAATGGCAAATAGTGTGTCATTCCCATCTGGATTCTAGTAGATTCTAGTAGTTAGCCTAATACCTGGTGAATGAGCAATTTTTCACTGGATAATCGTTGAATGGCTAACAGAATGAATCAATCCCTATTCCTCACCACTCTCAAGCAGGGCCTGAGGTTCCTGAGATACGAGATCGGCCTGAGTTTCCATGGGAAGGGCAAGGTGCTCTCTGGTCTCCTAGGTGCAGACTCAGCGGAAAGCAGGTTTTGAAGGAGAATGAGGAAGCACTGCAGAAGCAAAAGTTCAAGGTTCAAAGATAATTCAAAAAAACTCTCCTGAATACAGAAAGATGGGAGCTAGCATTTCAGTGAGTACCTAGGAACAGTGACAAGAAATGCAGCCACTGGGACTAGTCTTCTATTTTATTTATTTTTTAAAATCTTTTTTTGAGATGGAGTTTCACTCGTCGCTCAGGCTGGAATGCAATGGCACGATCTTGGCTCACTGCAACCTCTGCCTTCCAGGTTCAAGTGATTCTCCTGCCTCAGACTCCCAAGTAGTTGGGATTACAGGCACATACCACCATGCCCGGCTAATTTTTGTATTTTTAGTAGAGATGGGATTTCACCATGTTGGCCAGGCTGGTCTTGAACTCCTTACCTCAAGTAATCAGCTGACCCCAGCCTCCTCAAATCCTGGGATTACAGGCGTGAACCACCACACCCAGTGTCAAACTAGTCTTTTAGATCCTGGTAAATATACTCCCTGGAATGAGACTACCACCAGTACCAAGTTCCTCAACAATACCCCACCCAGTTTTGGCTGCCCCTCTCCACAGTGTAATATTTATCACAAAAAGCAGGAGTGGGTATATACATGCACTGGCATAAAAAGCACAAACTATGCCTATGAAGTCAGCTGCACAGAATGTCTGAAAAATGGAATAACCAACACAGTTTCCTTAATCTTGCATGAGGTACTCATGCCTGTAATCCCAGCACTTTGGGAGGCCAAGGCGGGTGGATGGCTTCAGGTCAGGAGTTCGAGACCAGCCTGGGCAACATGGCGAAACCTCATCTCTACAAAAAATACAAAAATTAGCCAGGTGTGGTGGTACACATCTGTGGTCTAAGCCACTCAGGAGGCTGAGGTAGGAGGATCACCTGAGTTCAGAAGGTCAAGGCTGCATTGAGCCATGATCTTACCACTGCACTCCACCTGCGTCTAGACCCAGTTGCTATATTTCCTCTCACTCAGAAGGCATTAGCCTTCTTATCTTCCTTTTCTCATAAAATAGTTCCTTGGATCAGAATGTTAAGTCCCTGAAGCCGGGACGGATGTATTTTTTTTTTTCTTATTGAGTCGGAGTCTCGTTCTGTTGCCCAGGCTGGAGTGCAGTGGCATGATCTTGGCTCACTGCAACCTCCGCCTCCCAGGTTCACGTGATGCTCCTGCTTCAGCCTTGAATTACAGGTGCATGCCACCATGCCCAGCTAATTTTTGTATTTTTAGTAGAGACGGGGTTTCACCATGTTGGTCAGGCTGGTCTCAAACTCCTGACCTCGTGATCTGCCTGCCTTGGCCTCCCAAAGTGCTGGGATTACAGGTGTGAGCCACCAAGACCAGCCCAGATACTTTTTTTTTTTTTTTGAGACAGAGTTTTACTCTTGTTACCCAGGCTGGAGTGCAATGGCGCGATCTCGGCTCACCGCAACCACCGCCTCCTGGGTTCAGGCAATTCTCCTGCCTCAGCCTCCTGAGTAGCTGGGATTACAGGCACACGCCACCATGCCCAGCTCATTTTTTGTATTTTTAGTAGAGACGGGGTTTCACCATGTTGACCAGGATGGTCTCGATCTCTTGACCTCGTGATCCACCCGCCTCGGCCTCCCAAAGTGCTGAGATTACAGGCTTGAGCCACTGTGCCTGGCCTCCCAGATACATTTTTTAAACATAAGAGCCTTCTTTTTCACCACACAAATTACCAACAATGAGGTTCTTTATTACTCTGTTTTTATTTCTACTAATGTCTCCACTCCACAGTTACTACCATAATCAAAAGAGGCCTGTTCTCTGTGGCTTACTGGATAAAATGTAATATTAGTACTTAGAATAAGGCTTGGATCTCAAGTACAAGTTTCTACTCCACACCTGAATGCTGGAGCAAGAGTGTCCTACGGCTGGGCAAGAGCGTATGAAAAAAAACGTGGGGCCAGACGTGGTGGCTCACCCCTGTAATCCCAGCACTTTGGGAGACCAGCCTAGCCAACGTAGCGAAACTTGGCCTCTACCAAAAATTAAAAAAAAAAATCAACCAGAGATGGTGGCATGTGTCTGTAATCCCACCTACTCAGGAGGCTGAGGCAGGAGAATCATTGGAATCCGGGAAGCAGAGGTTCCAGTGAGCCGAGATCACGCCACTGCACTCCAGCCTGGGCAACAGAGCAAGACTCCATCTCAAAAAAAGACAAAAAACCTGGATTTTATCTACCTGTCTTTATCTCTTTACTCATTTGCTCAAATACCAAATGTTTGTTGAGTACTAACTCTATTGCAAAGCACCACTGCAAGGAGTGAAAAAAAAAATCAGGAATGCAAAAAGTATTTGCTTCGTAATTAGAGACTGTTACACTCACATACGGCATCAAAGGAAAAGGGTTAGATAGGAGAATGTTTGAGAGAATAAAAGAAAAAAAACAACAAATGAAGAGGGGCTGTGTTTGAGAGTCAACTGCAAGTTTGGAGAACTCTGGTCTTCAGGTAGCAGGGGATAGAGAATGCCCAGTATCAGCGCCCTTACACAGTGGAAAGCACTGACTCAGTTACAAGCCAGACCACTGGCAACCAAGGTGACACACCTTCTTGTCACCATCGCCCTCCCAGCAGGGTCCCTTCAATGCTGTCTCAGAGCCAACCACCATAGCCTCTCATCAACCACCTTTACAATCTCCGGGGCTATTTAGGAGCTGACACCCTCAACAAGTCAGCTTTCAGTACAAACTCCTAGAAAGGCAGGTCAAAAGTCTGACCCCAGAGAAAAAGGCAATGCTCCCTCTCACAGCTGGGTTAAGCAAAGCTGGAAAACTCAAAGGCATATTGTTGAGAACAAGTACCCAGTGTCCAGATCGGTAAACAGTGTTCCTCATAGAAAGAAAACTCTCCATTGTGCCCGAATGGCTTCAGGTCCAGGCTGGGCCCTTTCCCTGCTCTGTTGTCAGACTCTCTCCCTGGAGGCGCCCCTAGGGACTGAGACAGATGGCCTGGCAGTGAGAACGAGCCACGGAAAGCATTACCTGCCTGATTCTTTCCTTCCTTCTTTGAAGTCAGTCCCTAGAAGGCCAAAGAAGCAATTACTGGCAATTTAGCAGCTTCTATTCAAGTTCCTGGGAATTCTCACTTTTGTCGATGCCAATGCTGTACGATTAAGGGGAAAAAAAGGAATTTAAAATATTCATGCAAATGTCTTTTTTTTTTTTCATGTGAGACAGGGTCTCATTATGCTGCTCAGGCTGGAGCGCAGTGAGTTTGAGCTCACTCCAGCCTCAAACACCTGAGCTCAAGCAATCCTCCCAACTCAGCCTCCCAAGTAGCTAGGACTAAAGGTGTGCACCCCCACATCTGCCTGAATTTTTAAAACTTTTTTTGTAGAAATAGGGCCTTGCTATGTTGCCCAGGAATTTCCTGGCCTCAAGTGATACTCCTGCCTCAGCCTCCCAAAGTGCTGGCAATACAGGTGTGAGTCACCAAGTCCAGCCTAAACTTCATTTCTAATCAAGATATTTAGAGAAAAGGAAAAAAAGATAGAATGCTTATTATATGCTATTAAACACCAATTAAGACAACCACAACTGGTATTTGCATTGCGCCCATGGAGAGAGATGAAAGGGAATGGTAGGTTCTCAGATCCACTTCCACCCAGGGTGAGAAAGTTCTAACGTTCTGGCCAGGCACAGGGCTCACGCCTGTAATCCCAGCATTTTGGGAGGCCGAGACAGGCAGATCACCTGAGGTCAGGAGCTCGAGACCAGCCTGACCAACATGGAGAAACCCCATCTCTACTAAAAATACAAAATTAGGCCGGGAGCCTAAAAATTAGGTGGCTCATGCCTGTAATCCCAGCATTTTGGGAGGCCAAGGCAGGCGGATCACAAGGTCAGGGGATCAAGACCATCCTGGCCAACATGGTGGAACCCCGTCTCTACTTAAAATATAAAACTTAGCTGGGCATGGTGGTACATGCCCGTAGTCCCAGCTACTCAGGAGGCTGAGGCAGGAGAATTGCTTGAACCCAGGAGGCAGAGGCTGCAGTGAGCTGAGATTGTGCCACTGCACTCCAGCCTGGGCGAAAGAGCGAGAGATTGTCTCAAAAAAAAAAAAAAAAAAAAAAAAAAAATGGCATGGTGGTGCATGCCTGTGATCCCAGCTACTCAGGAGACTGAGGCAGGACAATCGCTTGAACCCAGGAGGCAGAGGTTGAGAGGTTGTGATGAAATGGGATCACACTACTGCACTCCAACCTGGGCAACAAGAGTGAAACTCCGTCTCAAAAAAGAACAGAAAAGAAAAGAGAGTTCTAACGTTCTGTCAGCTAACTTGCTAGACACTGCACTCCCAACTACTTCAGCAGGGAGTATGCTCCAAGTTGCACAGCTAAGCCATTAGAATTCTTCAGGTGATCATTGAAAATCTATTTCCTTGGACCTTCACCTCACAGAGACCTAGTGTGTCACGGAAATTCAATGACTGGCCACGTGCAGTGGCTCACACCTGTAACCCCAGCACTTTAGGAGGCTGAGGTGGGAGGATTACTTGAGCCCAGGAGTTTGAGGCCACAGTGAGCCATGATGACACCACTGCACTCCAGCTGGGGCAACACAGTGAGACTTTAATACACAAAAATTTTAAAAGGAGAGGGGGAAAAAAGGCCAATCGCAGTGTCTAACACCTGTAGCCTGTAATCCCAGCACTTTGGGAGGCCAAGGCAGGTGGATCACCTGAGGTCACGCGTTCAACACCAGCCTGGCCAACGTGGCAAAACCCCATCTCTACTAAAAATACGAAAAAATTAGCCCGGGCGTGGTGACTGGTGCCTGTGGTCCCAGCCACTCCAGAGGCTGAAGGGGACAACGCTTAAACCGGGGAGGCAGAGGTTGCACTGAGCAACCTCCACTGGACTCCAGAGCTAGACTGTCTCAAAAATAAAAATTAATTTTTTTAAAAAAGAGCTTCAATAACAGAATCTTCTCCTTATACCCGACTGTCCATTAAACACGTATAATCAAATGATGCCCACTCTCCACAGATGTCTTTTCTGGAGAAAAAAATAATACGCTTAGTTCTTCTAATTAGTCCATTGGTTTCAGGCTCATCACCCTGCTATCCTCTCCTGGAGTTTACACAAGCCCTTCAGAGTGTAAACACCGATGTGGATTCAATCCCACTTCTGAAGTGAATCAAACCAGAAATCTAATACAACTGAAAATGGAGCCTGAGCCAGGTGTATCGCTGGATGCATTAGGCTCCAGCGGGATTACCCTCGGAATCGGAGTCTGCACCCGCTCCCAGCCTTCGTTCTAACTCCGTACGCTTTGCAGAACTACTACGCTGATCCTTGGACCCAGCTCCGTTAAAATAAACTTCCTCTCTTGCGACGGGCGCGAATAACCGTGTTAACGTCAGATAAAAACGTCTGGGAGAAGTACCAAGTTACAGTCGCTGTCGTCAGCTGCTATCAAGAGAGAGGCGCCCCTACCTCTCTGCTGAAACTTTTAAACGCTCTAGCTGGGGCGCCGTTTAAGTCACAAAATCAGAACCGGAGCCCCATTCCTAGCCCCCACGCAGGGTCCCGCTAGGCTTGGGGGGATCCCTGGGGAAGCGAAGTGGAGGACAGACTGCAGGGGACGTCGGGGCACCTCCCCAAACCCTGATCCGGGCAGGCCTCGGGACCCCGCGGGCCGCAGCGGCACAGACACCACCCCCTTCCCCGGCGACCACAGCCTCCGTCTTACCGCGAGCCCTGGGGACGCCCGGACTCACCCTGGTGGGCAGGGACGAGAAATGTCGGGGGCCGGACACGAACCAGGCCCTGTTGGACCCTGTCACAGACCCGCACACCGGGGACAGAACAAAGAACGGAAGTTCCCCCTCGTTTCGCTTCCGGGTTGGTTGTTCTTGCCACTCACCCGCGCCCCTAACGCCCACTTGTTCTGTCTAGGAAAATGGGAGGTCCTCGCCTCTCTGTGGTTTGCTGACTCAGGGCGGCTGGCAGGCGGCGAGGGCAAGGAGTCCGATCGCTGCCGCGGCACTCGGGGATCTGTAGCCGTGGGGTTGGCCGGCTGCGCCCCCTGCTGGCCGCGCAGGCACGAAAACGGCCGACCACGGTCCTGGGCCTCAGGACGCATGCTCCGGCACCACCAGCCATCGGGGCGGGCAGCGGGGGCGAGCGGAAACGTCGAGCCCGCGCTCTTCAGGCTGTCCAGTAAACAGCAGCCGCAAACGCACAGTTCTTGACGGATTCATCAATATTAAAAAATTGACCCTTACTCAAAACTTGCTTCCGAAGAAACCGATTTTTTGTTGGTTTCTTGTAAAAATGCCCCCTTTAAATTACCTACATCTGAAGTAAACATTCCAGCCCATCAGAGTTGACTTGAGGACAAAACCCGTGTACAGGTGATGAGAGCAGAGAAGACGGAACTACCGGCGGGCCGCGGTGGCTCACGCCTGTAATATCAGCACTTTGGAAGGCCAAGGTGGGCGGATCACCTGAGGTCAGGAGTTCGAGACCGGCCTGGCCAACATGGCGAAATCCCATCTCTACTAAAAATACAAAACAATTAGCCGGGCGTGGTGGCGCGCCCTTGTAATCCCAGCTACTCTTCAGGCTGGCACAGGAGAATTGCTTGAACCTGGGAGGTGGAGGTTGCAGTGAGCCGAGATCGCGGCCACTGCACTCCAGCCTGAGCGACAGTGTTGTCTCAAAAAAAAAAAAAAAAAAAAAAGGAAGTGAGGCGGGATAGTTAAGGAAGTAAGGAAGTAACCCTGTCCTGGGGACTCCGCAACCAACCGTGGTGACCTCACAGCCAACACAGTAAGTCCTAGTATTCCTATTGTAATTGAGCTCATTCAAGAAGAGCGCTCTCCAGTTGGGACTTTCGCTGTAGGGAGCATGCATATTTTGACTTTTACCTGTCCTCAAAGTGACCCTTTGCTTATAACCATAGTAAAAAACACGCCTGTGGGTGGAGATTTAAGATGCTAATGAAACATGCAAGTATGAGCAAGCCTGTACACTCACTGCACATGTGCCCCTAGAGGAGCACCCAGAGCTCCCATCTCTATGTAAGACCTACCTCCCACACAGGGGGTCTCTCTAGAGCCAGCCTTTGCTGTTTCATTCTTAGGGGCAGCCCTCCCTGAACTCTCTCCCTCTCTCAGGGTGTAATGTCTACTCTGCACTTAACTTTCAAAATATTACTTTCCTTTTTCAATAAATTACTCTATGCCACATTTCCTTCATCTTGTTTCTTTTGTTCTTTTCTCTTTTTTTTTTTTTGTCTTTGTTGCTGTTGTTGTTGAGACAGAGTCTGCTTTTGTCCCCCAGGCTGGAGTGCAGTGGGGCAATCTCGGCTCACTGCAACCTCCATCTCTCAGTTTCAAGCGATTCTCCTGCCTCAGCCTCCCAAGTAGCTGGAACTACAGGTGCTCAACACTACGCCCGGCTAATGTTTTTGTATTTTTAGTAGAGACATGGTTTCACCTTGTTGGTCAGGCTAGTCTCAAACTCCTGACCTCAAATGATCTGCCCGCCTCAACCTCCCAAAGTGCTGGGATTACAGGTGTGAGCCACCATGCCTGGCTTTCTTGTTTAAATTTTTTTTTTCTTTTGAGATGGGGGTCTTACTCTGCCTCCCAGGCTGGAGTGCAGTGGCATGATCTCGGCTCACTGCAACCTCCACCTCACAGGCTCAAGCAATTCTCCCACCTCAGCCTCCTGAGTAGCTGGAACCCCAGATGCATGCCACCACACCCAGCTACTTTTTTTTTGTAGAGATGGGGTTTCAACATGTTGCCCAGACTGATCTCAAACTCCTGAGCTCAAGAGATCCGTCCATCTTTAGCCCCCTAAAGTGTTGGGATTACAGGTGAGCCACTGCACCTGGCCTTAAATTTTTTTAAACTAAGAGATAAGAACTGAGGTATCACAACAGCCGTCAATAGAAGGAAAGCTTTCCTTCTGTTCATGGTTTCCTCTGCCTTCTTCAACATGTTGTCTTTTCTTTTTTAGAGACAGGGTCTCACTCTGTCACCCAGGCTGGAGTACAAGTGGTGTGATCATACCTCACTGCAGCCTTAACTTCCTGGGCTCTAACGATCCTCCCTCCTTAGCCTCCAGAGTAGCTGGGACCACAGACACGCACCGTCATGCCTGGCTTCCTTTCTGTTTTGTAGACTGGATACTGCCAGTTCATGAATCCCAAATAAAGCCAACTCAGTCTTTAAAATTCAAGTTGTTGGCCGGGTGCGGTGGCTTGCGTCTGTAATCCCAACACTTTGAGAGGCCAAGATTGGTGAATCACCTGAGGTCAGGAGTTTGAGACCATTCTGGCCAACGTGGTGAAACCCCGTCTCTACTAAAAATACAAAAACAAAAATTAGCCGGGTGTGGTGGCGGGCCCCTGTAATCCCAGCTACTTGGGAGTCTGAGGTGGGAGAATGGCTTGAACCCAGGAGGTGGAGGTTGCAGTGAGCCAAGATTGCACCACTGCACTCCAGCCTGGGCATGACAAGAGTGATACTCCATCTCAAAGAAAAAAAATACACACACACACACACACACACACACCCCCCAAAGTACATTTATGGCCTGTTTCCTACAACTAGAGTGCAAGCTCTATGAGGTCAGGACTTTGTTCAGTGCTGTAGCCACAGCACCTGGACTTACACCTGCCTGGTAGGCACTCCTAAATATTTGTGAAATTAATGACTGATGAGTGGATAGATAAACACTGACCCATGCCAAAAAGGGATACTTTTTTTTGTGGGCTGGGGGGATTTTTTTGGTTTGTTTTGAAAGAAACAAACATGGTGAAACTGTCTCTACAAAAAATACAAAGTTTAGCCTGGCATGGTGGCATGCATTTGTAGTCTCAGCTACTCAGGAGCCTGAGACGGGACAGTCACTTGAAGGCTGAAGCTGCACTGAATTGTGATTGTAACTCTGCACTCCAGCCTGAGTGACAGAAAAAAAGACTATCTCAAAACCAACAAAACAAAAACAAAAAAAGAAACGTTTAGCAAACTGAGTTCTGGAAAGTGCACCATCAACTGATTCAATTTCAAAGTCATCCTTAAATTTCACAAAATGGCTGTTTTATGAGTTGTATAATTATCTGAACAATGTTCCACTTGAGACAAGACAAAGGAGTTCTTTAATGTGTGATAGAGCAGTACAAACTATCAACTTTACTAACCCTAGAATAATTCTCATCTTGTTTTTATTTTAGCCTTCAGTCTAGCTGAGAAGCACTCTGCTCCTTAGAAACTGCCTAGCATTCTTTATAAAGAGATACATTTAAAAAAAAAAAAAAAAGATGGGGTTTCACCATGATGGCCAGGATGGTCTTGAACTCCTGACCTCGAGTGATCCACCCACCTCGGCCTCCCATAGTGCTAGGATTACAGGCATGAGCCACCTCCTCCAGCAAAGAGATACATTTTACTGGCTAGGCTCCCTGGTTCATGCCTGTAATCCTAGCACTTTAGGAGGCAGAGGCAGGCGGATCAGTTGAGTTCAAGAGTCTGAGAACAGCCTAGCCAACATGCTGAAACCCCCTCTACTAAAAATACAAAAATTAGCTGGGCATGGTGGTGCAAGACTGTAATCCCAGTTACCTGGGAGGCCAAGGCACAAGAATTGCTTGAACCCAGGAGATGGAGGCTGCAGTGAGCCAACATCTCGCCAAAGAGATACATTTTTCTGACCTTTTTTTCCAAACAGAAACGAGGCGTTATGTGCCTTTTTTTTTTTTTTTTTTTTTTTTTTGGACAGAGTTTTGCTCTTGTTGCCCAGGCTGGAGTGCAGTGGCACGATAGCTCACTGTGACCTGCACTTCCCTGGGTTCAAGCAATTCTCCTGCCTCAGCCTCACGAGTAGCTGAGATTACAGGTGTGTGCCACCACAGCCAGCTAATTTTGCATTTTTATTAGAGACAGGGTTTCTCCATGTTGGTCAGGCTGGTCTCGAACTCCCGACCTCAGGCAATCCACCCGCTTCGGCCTCCCAAAGTGCTGGGATTACAGGTGTGAGCCACCATGCCCAACCCATTATGTGCTTTTCTTTACCAACCCTCTCGGTTTGTCCAGACCTGGTTGATTCATTGCTGGAGACTAGAATAATTCTTTTTTTTTTTTTTTTTTTTTTTCTTGAGATGAAGTTTCGCTCTTGTTGCCCAGGTTGGAGTGCAATGGTGTGATCTTGGCTCACTGCAACCTCTGCCTCCCAGGTTCAAGTGATTCTCCTGCTGCAGCCTCCCAAGTAGCTGGGATTACAGGCGTGTACCACCACACCAGGCTAATTTTTGTATTTTAAGTAGAGGTGGGGTTTCACCATCTCTACTGGTCTCGAACTCCTGACCTCAGGTGATTCACCCACCTCAGACTCCCAAAGTGCTGGATTACAGGCATGAGCTACCATGCCTAGCCGCGGATGTGAATTTTGAAAGACAAGGTGATGGAATGTAGAGAGAGGTTGGACAGGATGGGAAAATTCAGATGTTCCTAGTATGGTACCTAATACCCATATTTGGAAGAAGGAGAGATAGAATATACAGATTGTCAACCTAAAAGAAGACCAGAGAAAAATATCTCCTAATTTAATGAATTTATGCAGGAATAAGCAGAGAGGATTATAGTCTGAACACACAGCTATAGCAAACCACAGATGCACCAGAAGACGGAGTAAGAAGGGAAAGATTTTATTGGCAAAAAAGGAGAAATTCAGCTGGGCAACATGGTGAAACCTTGTCTCTACCAAAAAAAAAAAAAAAAAAAAAAAAGCATGCTGTGATGGTGCACGCCTGTAGTCCCAGCTCCCCAGGAGGCTGAGACAGGAGGATCGCTTGAGCCCAGGAGGTCAAGGCTGCAGTAAGCCAGGATCACAGCACTGCACTCTAGCCTGGGCAACAGAGCAAGACCCTGTTTCAAAAAATTAAAAAAGGCCGGGCGTGGTGGCTCAAGCCTGTAATCCCAGCACTTTGGGAGGCCGAGGCGGGTGGATCACGAGGTCAAGAGATCGAGACCATCCTGGTCAAC